ATTTTCTTTAACAAATGTGGATTTGTCGGCCTCCCGACTTAGGAAATTATCATTAACATTGTCGGATTTATTTTTACCATTTGTATGAGCTTAATGGATGAATTTATTGAGGCTTACAAGATTACTTGGCTATTGTGAAAAATTGTTTGAAGCATTCATTAAGCTGATTGTTGGCAGAACGTTATTTGACTTGACAGAAACCCACTACCGTGTAATACGCGGGTTTTCAACAATACATTATTTGAAATTCGTCCCTCTCGCCCTGTTATATGGGTTACCAAATTACTTTAGGATGTTAAAAAATTTTTTTTTATCCTTCACAACAGAAATGTGCACCTTTTGTTTTTTTTTTTTTGAATTCCCCTTTTTTCATTTAAAAGTCGTGAGCTTATAAACTATGCCTTTTATCTTTTTTAGGTCATGCTAGTCAATGGGGTGAAGTTCGATCTCGCAAGTCTAAAAAGGAACAGAGCAATAAAGCTAAGGCAGGCGGACAACAATCTGGCAACGCTCAACGCGGACACCAAAGAGGTGGTTATAGTGATCGTGGTCGGACCCGTGGTGGTAAGGCACTCTTGAATTTTCGGTTTATGTAAATTAGTTATTAAATGCATATGTATTTATTCTAGAAGGTGGATCTCGTGGTGGAAGAAATACTGATCGTTCTCGAGGGCCAAAGAGAGATAACAGTTCGGGTATGATATCATAATTAACAAGACGGTTGCATTACCTTCAGTAATTCATCTCAAATTTATTGGCTTTTTTTTAGGTTATACTCGACCTCCACGTCAACAAAATGGACCAAGCACCTCCAATCACGATGACACGAACAACGGTGCTCACGCAAAATTAGTTACTGATAACTGGGGTAATAACGACAGTTCTGGTGGTGATTGGAATGACGCCAACGAAAGCTGGTCTTCTGATTCCAAAGGTCTTAATGCCCGGGGCAATGACAATATCGCTGCTAATGACTGGAGTGCTGAAAATCAATTTCAAAATTCATGGGGTGATAATTCGGCGGAAAATGCTAAAAGCGGCTGGGATAATGGCTCGGTTACTGATAAAGGTCAGAGTAATTGGACCAACGAGGTTTCTACAGAAAATAATCATAGTGGACGAAATGGCGATAATATTAATAATTCGGGAGGGTTGACAGTTAATAGTAAAAATAAATCCGACAATGTTAATGATAATTTCCTAAGTCGGGAGGCCGACAAATCCACATTTGTTAAAGAAAAT